TCTCTCATACTTTGGACATATTGTCCGGAGGGAACAGCCGCTGGAAAAGGATGTCATGCTGGGTAAGATGGAGGCTCAGAGAAAAAGAGGAAGACCCCCAAGATGGATCAGCCAGGTGGCATCATTGATGGACTCAAGTGTGGCAGTGGTAGTGAGGTTGGCCCAGGATCAGACATTGTTTCTTTCTGCTGTGCATGGGGTCACTATGAGTCGGTTCCGACTCGATGACACCTGACAACAACAATATCTCTACAGGAGCACAAAGTCTTATTATTCTCCAGCGGAGCAACTGGGGATTTGAACTGCCACCCATTCAACCGTCATGGTTTAATAATGAATCTACTACAATGATTAGTATAAGGCTGCCCCCATTTTAATAAGAGATTCCTTTAAGAGATAGAATGGTACAAAGGTGTGTCTTCTGCCATCATGAAAACTCATGCTGTAAGCACCTCTGGCCACCCCTTTGAACCTTCCCGATTCCTGGTGTTCTCCCTTCCATACCCCATTTCTCTGCTCTAACTCCAAAAGCAATCTACATACGCGGGTCTCCACAATGGTTTGCAAAAGCTTGCACACTCTTTCTTTTCTTGGGAAGTGGGACTTTGGTGATTTCGCTCTTCCCAATAACTTGTTTGACTTTATTGCCCTGCATAGTGCAATGCTTTGTACTGATGTAGATGAAACATACACAGAAAAATGCCTCACTTCCTGGTGTAGGCCTGTAGGATAAGCACTGGACTGCTAACTGCAAGGTCAGTGGTTCAAACCCACCAGCACTCCTCTGAAACCCTATCAGGGTGGCCAAGAGTCTGAACTGAGTGCTTATAATCTCCCTGTGAGACCAGAAGAGAGAGCTCTTGTCAGTGAGCACACCTGACAATATGGGTGTTTTGCCCACTTCCTTGGATCCCCATACATGTGTCAGAAAGTTGAAGCCACTTATAAATGACTGTGGTAGAGAGACATGTAACACACTGCCCAAGGCTTCCCCAAAGAAGTCGGGCTCAACTGGCCACAGGTGGCGCCACTGCCGGTGGCCACAGAGACAGAGTAGGGCTTCACAACAGGAAGAGGCCTCCTATGGAAAGTGTGTACGTGAGTCACAGGCTGAAGAAAACGGCAACAAGCATTATGCGACTTTCCTGAATTTTAGAACAAATCAGAAGGGTTTCTTCAGGTGACAACAATCTCACTCCAGCTGTGCATCCACAAAACCATTCCAGGAAACTTCGAACTTTTTCATCTCGCCACTGAATTTTCGCCGGGCTGTGTTGTGCTTTGGCATCTGTGCAGTCTTTTTAAGAAAACACAGAGTCCAGCTCTACTTGGCTAGGTCTCTGTTGGCAGGCACTTCATTCAGATCTTTCTGTTAGCCATGAGCAGAGATGTGTACAGCCCACGAAACTCATGCCATTCCTGGCCTGCACCAAGCTGAGTTTCAGAATCTCCATCCTGTTCCCCATGTGTGGCTCCGTTCACGTCTGCTTCCCACACAGACAAGCAGGGATCAGTGGTTCATCTAGTAGCTCAGGAAAGCATTTTCAATAAAATCAACAATCGCCTGTGATATAACCCATGTGTGAGAGGTTTCGAAATGTCTCCATTTACATCTTATCAATGATGCAGGGTATCATCTGTGTCTATGAGCCCTGGTGGTACAGTGTGTTGAGTGCCGGACACTACCCTAAAGGTCAGTGGTTGGAGCCCAGCATCCACTCTATGGAAGAAAGACAGTTGTCTAATTCCATACAGAATTATAGACTTAGAAACTGCAGGGAGCAGTTCTGGGCTGTTCTTTCTGTAGGGCTGCTATGAGCCAGAACTCACTGATTGGCAGTCGGCTTGGTTTAGTGAGTGTCTGTGTCTAGTTCTCCATGGCAGACCTGTCTCCCAAGACAAGCGGTCAAACACTGTTCCCACTCAACATCAGAATGATGCCAGAAAACTGCCTTTGCTCTGTCCAGCCCACGCAATGTCATCTGAACGAGCTGGTCAGAGGTCAGGATGATTCATGTGGTGGGACGTGGGACATGTGTCTTGCTTGGGTTTATGATCGAAATGACTCAACATAGACTGTCAACACGAAGACGTGAAGGAGACTTCCCTGGAGGGAGGTGACTGGTTTCCTCTGAGATGGTGCCCTCTTTTCTGGAAGGGATTAAGCTGACTTACCTCACATATAAATCCGAATGGTATTGCTTTCCATTCAGCACTCCCAGCAGTGTTGGGTTTTCATTATTTCTGAAATTGAGTGTACAATCATATACAGCTGAAACTATAAAAGATAAAACAAATACAGAGCAGTATATAGCGTGTGAACAAATACAGAGCAGTATATAGCATGTGAACCCAACTTTGTCTTGTAGATACACACATTGGAAGACAACGATCAAAGTGTGAGGCACTGGGTATGTCGGAAGGGAGGGGTTCTGCCTCTGTGCTATTCGATAGTAGCCAAATGCTCCATATTGAACACATCTTATCCTTTGTGGTCAGAAATTCACAGAGCCAGTTGGTAATGGAGTCCTGGTGTGGCACTGCAGCATAAGCACTGGACTGCAAGCCACAAGGATGGTGGTTCACATCCACCAGCCACTCTTGTAAACCCTGTACAGCATTGTTATGAGTCGGGACCGACTCGACGGCACTTAACAACGATGAAGTCAGTAATTTAGAACAGCTGTCACTGAGGTCAGATCAGACCGAAGCAACACCCACTCATCACATCTCGAGATACTACAATCGTAAGCACGGCTCAGCTCTCTGATACGGCACAGCCGATCTGGGTCAACAAATGCTTGACAGCAAGGTCAGTTAGTCCACGGCCTGATAGCTGTAGGTGTGTAACCTCCAGCCACATCAACCTTCTCTCAGCAGTTTTCCCCCTAGGGAAAAAAATTAAAAGGGCACTACCCAACTTGGGTATGATGTTGTTGTTGTTGTTATGTGCTGTGGAGTAGGTTCTGACTCATAGCAGTCCTGCACAGGGTTTCCAAGGCTATAAATCTTTACGGGAGCAGAAAGCCTCATCTTGCTCCAGTGGAAAAGCTGGTAGTTTCCAACTGCTGGCCTTGTGGCTGGCTGGGACTTCCTGAAAACCAAGTGGACTCTGACCAATGGCTTACCAATAGCATGTCTGCCTATGAGTGCATGGAAAACTGAGCCCTAACTTCATGGTGGCTGGCAGGCCCCACGCATGGCTCAGCAAACGCTTATGGAAGGGAAGGATGGGAGGGCGTGTGAGCAAACAAATGCAACAGCAGCAGTTTGTAGTAGGCATAGATGGCATCACTGGGCTTACTGGGCATTAGTGAAACAGGAAATGCTGCCCCCCACCCCCCGGACATGTCTCTTAGCCTCCATAAGCAAGTTCCTTTATGAAGTGGGACTCAGAATCCCTCTCCCACCAAACACTGGCATGATGGGCATCAGGCAGGGACCAGCGTGCACACACAATGTGCTCTGTAAATTAAGTGCAGACACGTGGCTGAGCCCACTGTATGCCTTTGGCTGCATGAATAAAACGAGCTGCAGGATGGGAGGACAGAAATGCAAAACACCAAGGTTCAAGGAAGACCACAGTGTCTGCTTTCCACCTGCAGCCTGACCACCTGGGAGCTGGCAGGAGTCCGGAAGCAGGGGCCTGGGATTCCTGAGGCCTGTGTGGACAGCCACCCTCCACGGTGAGGGGGAGGTCAGGGAGATTGGGAAGCAGTCTGGGTGTTTGTTGCCTGGTGTTTAGTATTCTTGAACATGAAATGTGGCCTATACAGAGGAAAGGCCATGCCATCTCTGTGGTGTCTCAGGAGAGTCGTTAAGGTTTGGGAACAAGAAGGACCATGGAGAATGTCGACTTCTGGGCTTCTCCACAGGACATCAGAGCAGTGGGGTTGCTTTTCCTAACAAAGTTAAAGATAAGCCCTGAGGGGTCCCCAAGAAGAGACTCCAAACCAGTGATTTGCAAGTTCCCTCGCTTTCAGAGGAGTAACCCCAAGAAATGTCTCCAAGTGACCCGTTGGGTGAAGTCGAGATTCCATGCTAGGTCTGAATTGGGAGCCCTTGCTGTCTGTCATGGAAGGGGGCCATCTGTGTGGGTCTACAGAGCCCATCAGTAAGGGGTGCACAGGCTCGCCAAATACTGGCTCCCGGGACTTCAACTTAACTGCCTTGTCTGCAGACTGGAAGGAAGACAGAATCTACTGCAACAATGTTGTAGGGACACACCTGGCTGTCTCGAGGGCCTGGTGCATGTTAGGGGACACCACTCATGTGGTTGTTGTTGTTGTTGTTGTTAAGTGCTGTCGAGTTGGTTCTGAGTCATAGCGATCCTATACAGGGTTTCCGAGGCTGTAAATCTTTCTGGGAGCAGAACGCCTCATCTTTCTCCCGCGGAAAAGCTGGTAGCTTTGAACTGCTGACCTTGTGGTTCGCGGCCCGATTCGTAAGCACTACGCTACCAGAGCTCCTTGGCACCACTCAGGGGGTATCTTTATTCCCTATGGAAGTGCAGATTGGAAACCTTCCCCACTGCTGCCTACCAGCAAACAGGTCAGGGAGTCTTATCTGACCCTGGGGAGATGGATCAGAGCAGGTGAAATGAACCAGTAGATGGGCAATTGTTGTTAAGCATCGTCCAGTTGATTCTGACTCACAGTGACCCCATAAAGATGGCAATACTAACAGCTGATATCTTATTAAATGAGGACTGTGTGCCAGGCATCATGCCATGAGCTTCACATGTCTTTTGTCTCTGAATCCTCATTGCACCACGCAGACATTTTACACAAGAGCACACATGGGACGAGAGGGATGAAGTAGTGTGCCCAGCATCGCACAGTGAGAAGACTCAAATCGGGAGTCCACGCTGTCTTTGACCCTGCTGTACATCATGGAAGGGGGCAGTCTGTGTGGGAGAGCAGTGGAGGGCAAGCAACAAGAGGGCATCCTTGGCCCAGGTTGTTGAAGTCAGGTGTGGAGGCCGGGGGGCAGTGGGCAGTTCTTAGCCTCTGGATTAAGCCAAACAGGTTTGCAGACAACGAGGCCCTTTGAGCCATGGACCGGGTGGGGGGCACCTGCAGAGTGGAAGGAGCTTGGAGGCAGCCATGCCTGGTGGGCTCGTGGCTATGCTAACTGAGTGAATTGCAGCCCCTTCAGACCCTTCAGCTCTGCCTGCAAGTGAGAGCTGCTGACAACAGGCGTGTGTGTGTGTGTGTGTGTGTGTGTGTGTGTGCAGCGTGTGGCCCCTGCCTGTGAGGAACATGGCCCCGAGGGGAGGGGGCTGGACCCAGAAGGGAACAGGGCTGGCTCCAGGCCCAGGGATGAGGGTGGGTCAGGGCTAGAGGGCCGCACAGGGAAAGCAGACTTGCAGTGGCTCCGGGCACTGGGTGTCACACAGGGACAGGAGAGGGTGAAGAGTCTAGAACCCTCTCTAGAGACTCATTCGGGGCCACATGCCGACAAAACTCCCTGTTTCTGACAGGAGGCCCCAGGGGGCAGCAGAAGACACCTTCCTAAATCCGCGATGCGTCCCTGGGGAGGCCTTGGCCGGGAGAGAGGCTCGGCGGAGGGTCTAGTCTGGGGGCAGGAAGTTGACTCTTTCAGGGCTCTCCTCCCTTGGCCAGACGGAGAGTCGGGGGGCATCCTGGGCCTCCAGGGCCTGATGCCCGCAGGGTGGCCCCCAGGGCTCCAGAGACAGGGATGAGGGGGCCGTTTCTGAACTAAAGAGAAGAGGCAGGCCACACTCAGCGAGGCTGGTTGCTGCTCGAACAGCTAAATGACCAGCTTGTCATGAGGTCTTCAGTCATTCAGGAGTCGTGACCACAAATCCTAAGACCGGAGCTGGTCACCTGGAGGCAGAGTCCAGTGCCTCCTGCCTTCCAGCGCCTTCGGTCCAGCCCTGCAGTTCCTGCGCCGAGCAGCAGAGGGCAGCTGGTGTGCGGGTGACCGGCCATAAGGTCCCTGTGGCAGACTGTCCCTAACTCAGCTGTCCCTGCCAAGGAAGAGCTGTTAGCCTCAGGGTCCGGCTAGGGGCACGGGTGTTCCTTACCTACATTTCTCAAACTCCGTACGGTGACGGCAAAGCCCTTGGTGCGCGGCAGCAGGTGGTACTTGAGGCTGGGCAGCCCCTTGGCCTTGGCCACCTGCATGCTGATCTGGTGTTTGGTCTCGGTGAAGCGGGTGCCCTCGCAGTGGATCAGGAACTGTGGGACAGGCCTGCGTCACTGCACGTCCCCACCCGGGACCCACCACAAACCTGCCAACTGAGCCTCCTCTGCACACATGCCCACCAAGACCCTCCATAAGCCACCCACTGAGACCCCCATCTGCACCCACCCATTGAGCCTCTCTCTCATCCATCCCCTGTCTCCCATGGTCTTTGGTCTGCCCAGAGGACTCTGCTTCCTCCATGCCCCTGGTGGCCAGTCCTCCATGTTCAAGGTTCTTAGGAACTTCCTACACACAGGGCTT